ATTTCCTTCCATCTTTCACATTCCTCGAATTTAGTAAATGCTAATAAAAAAAGTTTTTACTTTAACAGTATTTCACTATGAAGTCTACAGATTCGATAATATGTCCGATGAAAGAAGGACAGCGAGGAGGACATCAGAAGGTCAATCGAGGGTTCAAATTGGTATCAGCAGTTCCTCCATATTTTGCAGCTACAAACACCACGTTTTACGATTCGTTTTTATGACTTTGGACCATATTTAAAATTATGTGCTTTCGCGACCACTCTGTTGCCGTATTTTATTTATTCAAGGGATAACGTATTTCACTAAAATTTCAATAAAAATTGACGACTCTACTCATACTTAAAATCGGTAGAATTGCCGACCAATAGAATTTCTCCGTAAAAGGTTAAAAAAACTACACATATCGGATAATAAATAAGTGTGTGGTGATTAGTGACCGATAGTCGATGATTATTTGGAAATCGTGAGATGCGATCTGGTGTGATGTAGGTTTCAGAAAAACATTTTCTTTATCGTGCCAACGTTTCGATCATTATTGTGATCATCTTCAGGGCCTGGGATTTACAAACATTGTTTAAATTTAACAAATACATGTAGGATGTGGAAAAAAGTGAATTTATACAATGCAAAAAAATATTTTTTATATTCAATCGAAGATTTCTAATCACTCAAAGCGTTTGTTTTCTGCGTAATTGTGCCATTTTTGCGTGTTATGTTGAGAGTGCCAGTGAGATATTGCAAATAATCTTGATAATTAATTAATAATCTTCAAATCTATCAAATGCAGACAAACCAACATACATTTCCTTGCCATTCATTCACGGCCTATCACATAAATTAAACTTTAAAATAGCTTTCAAAAATTATAAAACAATTGAAACACTTTTTTCCAAAATGAAAGATCCCACACCAATAATAAATAAATCTGACGTAATCTACAAAATCAATTGTTTAAACTGTCTGACAACTTACATCGGTCTTACATCCCAATATCTGGACAAGAGAGTAAACCAACATATCTATGATTGCAAAAACCCAAGCAAAATCCTACAGCACTCGCTACCCACCATTTTGAACACAAACACAATTTCGACTTCAACAATCCAAAAATATTACTCACAGAACAAAACAAATATGGTTTACATGAACAGAGATAAGCACAGCATTAATCACAGAACAGACACATGTAAACTCAGTCGCAGCTAGGCCAATATCATTGATCAAATTCAATATAGATAACATACATATATCATCACGTCACACAAAACATATATTATAACATATAAAACATTCATCACATTCCACACATCAAACATTTTTACATAGTCTAATTTTTGAACAATTTAGCTTTCCTCTTCCTATTTATCCCCGTCTATATAATCCTGAAAGGATAATCTGGCCGAACCATTACCAACGTTTTTTCTCTTCTTCGGCTATTTTCACCTCAAAGAAGCCTACTCCTTGTACAAATAGTCCTTATAGAAAAATGTCTTTCTATCCCGACTTCCTTCCCCGCCCTTTCAAAATCCAACGCATATAAACATAAAACAGCAATATCTCACTGGCACTCTCAACACGACACGCAAAATTACGCAGAAAACAAACACTTTGAGTGAGTAGAAATACTTTGATTGAATATAAAAAAATTTTTTTTGCATTGTATAAATTCACTTTTTACACATCCTACACGTATTTGTTAAATTTAAACAATGTTTGTAATTCCCAGGCCCTGAAGATGATCTCAATAAAGATCGAAACGTTGGCACGATAAAGAAAATGTTTTTCTGAAACCTATATCACACTAGACCGCATTTCACGATTTCCGAATAATCATAATAAATAAGGAAATATTGGAATAGGGAACCGGATTAAACAATATTCTGTGCGGAAACTATTCAAATGTGTTACAGCCGTTAATGCGCTTCGTTTAATATTTTACGCATGTTACACACTTCCATTAAAATGGTAGCATAAACATCGTTGCGTAATGTGCCTTTTTTAGTCACCTGATATGCGATATAGAAGACTATGTAATAACAGAGATGGTTAGTTTCGTAATATTTTACAATTTTCTTTTCGTACAGAAGCTTCAAATCGAACAATAATTCTATGTACAATTTGACTAGCCTGTTATGTAAATATAAAATTAAATTTGTCTTTTTTCTTTCTTGGTTTTATGTTTTTTTTGTACAAAAGATACAAATAACCGCTATGTTTTAAGGGGTTTTATCTATTTCTTACGATCCTATATTAAGAACCTCTGCAAAAAAAATCTTGCTTCTTTGCTGATTCGTACTGAATTTTCGAATTTTTAGGGGGAAGGTTTCAACATAAAAAAAAACACACCTTATTGATATTTTACAATTAATTGGTCAAGCCGACCACGAAACTAGTGAATTTAACTTATTGATATTCTTGGTTGAGAAAGAGTAAATACAGTATGGCACGATGGTATAATTTACAGAATGCTTGAACGCAATTTCCCAAAATACATTATCAAGGGCAGCGTGTCTTGGAGTTCAATTGTGGGACCGACACTTTTTTTGCATCTTTTTAAATGTTTTGCCTACGCCCAAATGCTGCCAACTCGCTTTGTACGCCGACGACATAGCGCTTTATAGTTCATCCTGGAGGATGCGATCGTCAAAAACATAAATACGGGGCTGGAAAGAGTAAAACGGTTCTGCACTAGATGGAAACAGAAAATTAACTCTTCCAAAACTACACTGACAGGCAAAAAATTCCACCCAACTGATTTTTTTTCATTTTCTCGATAAAAAAAATTCTCCCCTTAATTTGTTTCATTGATTTTATGAATAAATATTTGTTTATGCTATGTTTTAAATTGGGAATATCAATTAGAGTAAACTAAATTTTTAATCTAAAACGAGGATGAAGGATTTTTCAATGTTTAATATTTACGGAATTTGAAATGTTTATTCAGTGTCATTTGAATTCTGAAGCAATAGACTGTTTAGTTTTCATCTTTGTTTTCTTAATGGCAATTTTTAAACTTAAAAATGCCACTTGGGCTGAGGATGTTGTGCGTGGTTTGGCATTTATTGATGATGGACGTTCCATCAGGTATGCGGCTAATGCCATCGGAGTTCCCTACGAAACTCTAAGAGACGCCGTTAGACCTTTTCGAGAAACTGGGTCCTACCATAGAAGGCCTGGTACTGGACGCCCGAGGGACCGCAGGATGACCGTTTTTTGACTTTGAGAAATTTGCAAAACCGGCACCTTTGTTGTTTCAGCGATCCATCAGATAACCATCCTTAGTCAGGAAGTTCGAGTTGTCCAAATTTTTGAACGCACTGCCGAAGAAGATGAAATCAGTACGGACTGATGGCATTTCACCCCGTAAGAGGACTCCTATTTGCTTGAGAACACAGCTATTGGTCTTTAGACGATTGGTCAGCTGTACTTTTTACAGATGAGTGTAGATTTGCTCTACGATCTCCAGATGGGAGTGAAAGAGTGTGGAGAAGGCGAAATGAAGGGATCGAAGCATGTAATTTTTCCAACCTTTCAATGGAGAGTCGCACAGAGTTGGTTGTTGTTCGTGGAGGGTCTTTGATGGCCACTCACTATGTGGATGAAATTTTGGGACATCATGCGTTGCTTATCCTCGATGAAATCAGCGAATCCTATTCTAATGAACGATAATGCCGTCCACTTGTCACTCGCATAGTACAAACGTACCTTCAAAGGCATAAAATCAGGGTCTTAGCCTGTCCAGCCCGTTCTCCAGACTTGAACCTCATCGAACATTTATGGGAAAACCTCAAAAGACGAATAAGAGCAGGTCCATCACTTACTGATTCTTAAAAGTACTCTTCGTGAAGAATGGGCTAACCTCCAGCAAAGAGACATTTCCAGACTAGTAGGAAGTATGCCGAGGCTTCTTCGAGATGTAATTAAGGCAAGAGGACGAAATACGCGATATTGAAATGTTAATTAAAAATATAAAACAAATTTTATCTGTCCGTCTTTAAAAAATTTTTTTTTTATATTTTTCATTTTCATTACCTATTAACATTTTTTTTTTGACAAAGACTCAATTATTAAAGGTTAAAAAACATGAAAAAATACAAATCAAGTTTTATTAAAAGTGGCCGGAATTTTTTACCTGTCATTGTAGTTTTATGCTACTCACTAAGCGTAGGCCTCTGCTCTCCCACAATATATTATTCGATAGGGCGTCGTTTAAGTGGTTAAAAACTGGTACCTAGGAATCACTGTTGATACCAAATTGAATTTTAGTGCTCACACAAGTAATCTGGTAGGCAACGGGAAAGCGGCTATACGAACACTTTTCCCATTGCTCAGAAAGGGGTCTGGCATGAGCCAACACAACTAACTTCTAATTTATAAGGTGTTATTAAACCATATGCATGGCCAGCATGGAATTTTACCTGTAAAACAAATCCCAATAAATTACAGGTAATCCAAAAGAATTTTTTCCTGCTCGCCACTGCCTCTCCCAAATATTACAAATTGACAGACCTACACGAACGAACTAACACGAAATGGGTAGAGGAGAAAATGTACAATGAGTGTGTCATCAAATCCCATTTGCAGATCCATTGGTGCATATCAAACAAATGTAAATTGGAAACATAAGAGGATCAACAACGTACCTGGTTTATAAACTTGTCATAGTTATCAAATTCATAGTTTTAAGAATATTTATGTATTTAATTATTTATTTACATATCATATACACTTATTATATGCATTTATTTATATTATTTAATTCTATTTATAGAATTCATCCCTCTGCATGTGATTTTTTTGAACATAAATTTTTTCCCACAAATTATTATGGAATTTCTCATACCTTTTTGTATATAACGATGATTAGTTGTAAATAGGAAGCCATAGTGAAACGTCACTTTCCCTACATTCTAAAATTATTGCATATATTTTGATGCACATGTGCAAATAAAAATTTATTCTATTCTATTCTTGGTTATTTTACTTAATTCGCTTACCGCCAAACCCTGGTCGCACGCTGTTGTCATATCCTCGTAGTAGGTTGTCGAGTAGCTCGGACACGTTTTTGTGGTGATTCCTTTCAAACCCGAGAGTCCCCCTAAAACACGATGAAACAGTCACAGTTTATTAATCAAAATGTTGTATGCAATGTTACTTATTTAAATGGATTAAGAATTGATTATATGTTCCCTAACTTCTTTGGATTTTGTTTGCTGTTATTAAAAACGAGAATATCACATGATCTTTGGTGTGTACTTTTTATTTATTAGTTCTTTAATTTATTTGTTGTATATATATGTCAGTACATGCATATTACGCATGCGGTCGCAGTACGCTTTTTCATACGATCACAGGAGTATCCCTAATGCCAGTACCGAACGTCGAGGACACATGCCATGAGAAACCTACCAGTAATGGCACTCGAAAATTTCAGTTTAGGTAATTACATTATTTAGGTTGTATTATATGTAGGTAATATTTATTAGGTGTCTTCTTAGTGGTCCAAGTCTTCTGTTAAGTTGTTGTCTTTTAAGTGTTGTGTGGGGATTCGACGTCAGTCTGCTATCTAGGTTATGATGACGCACTATGTCGTGTTACTGACAAACTAAACAAAATTTAGACTTAATTCTTGTGGATCTTTACCCGTCCGAATAATAGTGGGAAAGGCATAAAACTAAAGACTTTGATTACAATTGTATAAAAAAAGGACTTTAATTATAGTATACAAAAAAGAGCAGCAATAAAGGAATGGCGGCTCTGCCATGCTTCAGCACATTCTTCTTAAACAATAAATAAATAACCAAACACATTCACTAATAAAAACAACAAAAAGGCTCACTGGTGTTGAAAAAAGTGTGATGAGAAGGCGACAAAAACTGGAGAATCAGAAAGCGATGAATCCAATTAATGGCTCAAGTCCGCAAACTTCTTTCGACCAAAACCAACTTCCGACGTCAGGAAACATAAAAGAGACTGCCGTGGTCCTATTAATTCCCGAAGTGTTCAGCGAAATATGTCCATTGTTGATGCTCTGGCATTATAAGGTATAGTCTTGAGTACTAAAATAGAAGTCGGTATCCCTTTGTTGTTGATGTAAACTATAAGGCAAGACAGTTTTTTTTCAATGCGAACGTACACCGAGTAAATTTTTCTTCATGTAGTACTTTTGCAGTCTTCCATTGGAGCCTAAATAAAAAAAAAAGAAAATAGGAAGGCACCAATTAAAGAAATGTGTAGGTCGGAAAATAAATGCAATTTTCTTGTTGAAATTTCAATACATCTCACACTGACAAATGCTACAGTGCTATCCTCGAATAATGCTATTGTTGTGTTTTGTGTTCACAGGTCACTGTATACAGCAGATCTAGTTATTAGGACGCATCCGTGAGGAACCCCAACCTTTATTTCCTAAAGCGCGCAGTATTCGACATCTTTTCTTGGAAGAGTCTAGGAGAAGTAGGAGGAGAAAAGTTGAGTGTACTTGGTTGGGATTTTTTAAGTTCATGAATTAAGCCTTAAGTTAAGGCTAGAAACACTGTGGAACATTGATTTTCTAAAGCTCTCTATATTAATCAGTAAATCTGTGAACGCTCTATTGTTAAGTGTTTTGTTCTAATGCCAAATTGATGATTCGGTATGAGAATCTTTTATTCTATGATTATATGAGACTTTGAACTTTCATGGTGATAGTTTTTCTTTGTCTTAAGATCACTGGAATTCTATATATTTTCTTCATTCAAATTCATGTTCAAATTGATGAAAACATGAAACTGGTCAAGATCTGTTCGGTAAAACTCATGACTTACGGTTGGTCAAATTGTAACTTTTGCACTTTGAGCAGATTCGAGATGGCTGAGCTGCTGACTGATCAAACTGAATTTCTGCAATGATCTGCCGAATAAAACAAACCGAAAATTTAGAGTAAGATGTAACAAAGTCAATTACACAAGAGAACGGTGTATCTCAAGGTTAGGTGCTTAGTGCATCTCTTTTCTGTATCTTTTATTTGTTTTTGGAGTCTATTATATGCTTCTAATTGAATATATTACGTTTCCAATGGAGGTTGGTTTAATAGTGTTTCTAAGGCAGCTGAGAGTGTTAATTGGCCCTGTAATGCATAGATTTGCCAATCTTTGAACGCTGCTTATTTTTTATGTTATTTGTTTTTATTGAGCTGTAGACATCCATATTAATGAACCAGAAAGATATGAAAAATCTCATTACAACAATCTTAGTCAACAAGAATTACTGAAAGTTAATCAGAAGCCATTAGTGATACCGTACTTTTGGTTATGATGTGCTGTAGGCGAGGGCTAATTTCTCGTCAAAGGTAATTCTCAGAGATTCAGCCTCATTTTTGCACTGAGACATTTCATTATACAAACACGGACAAAATATTAATTTTTTTTTAGTAAATGCAATTGGTGTGGGTTTTGAGCAGTTTACACTGAAAAGTTAAGAAAAACAATCAAATTGACTTATGAATAGATTCTTCGAAATATTCTTAGAAAGAAATTTTATACTACATTTATCCTACCTTTTATATTAAATTAATAGTATATTAAACAAATATCATCTCCATTGGTTTTATTTGATTTTCACGTAACATTGGCCAGTAATTAATCTTTTTGGTCTATTATCTACTATCACGACAAGGAATGTGATTGGAATTCTGACTGGCCACTGTCACTTAAGAAGGCACAGGTACAGACAGAACTGAGCAGATACTGCCAGGAAGATGATACTGCAGAACATGTTATGTGTTTTCTTTGAGGGTCTGTGTATGTGTAGATTCTTGCAACTAGTAGAGGAAAAGCTGCAAGCAAGACCCTACACTAAGAAGCTGGCAAGGGTATGTAAATTGTTTAACGACCTAAAGCTGGCCAGTAAGTTATAAAAATAGAAGAGCACAATGGGTCTTCACATGTGGAGGTGCTGAAGGTCATGTCACTACCTCTTTTATCCACATCCTATCTACTATCACAGGATATAGTAGACATATAAAATCTTCTTACTACATCATTTAGATATCAATCCAAAATCAAAAGGAGGATTGCTACAGCATAAAGTTATTTTGGAATATTTTGTTAATGGAATCATGCCTGTTTTTAATCTTGGTATAAAAACAATCTTTCAACGTTTTATGTTGATTGTTTAGAGAGAATTTAAAAGGAATTTGGTTTATAACTTTTGGCCAGATGTCGACTAAATATAAATTTTATTTCTAGAACTGGAACAAACGCCTTACCCGGATTGGAGGTTGGAACACACGACTGGAATTTTCCAAGCCGCCAATGTTGTTATTTGTAACCTAATCTCCCAGATTCTCCTTGGAAAACTCAATACCGTTCATTTTTATTTATCCCTTGAAATATCTATAACATAAAAATACAATCCGATTCTGTAATTTTATTGTTACATTCAATGTCAGAATGAAATACGAGTAAATTACGTTTATGCATAACGAATTATTGATGTTGTAAATGTCAACTCAATAACACTGCAGACGTGTCGGCGAGGCAATGTTGTCAAAGTAGCATGTATGCTGGATGGACAGGCCCTGTATTCTAATTTTAGCTCATGTTTATAAACAATATTTATCTGTATCGATCATGGGACGGAGGCAACCTTGAGTTCGGTCCATAGTTATATCGAATTCTATGGGTACTATTAATACACACCGATATTCAAAAAAGTGGCCACCCTTAATATTTTTTATTACCTCTTAGACAATCCACCATTGATTGCTTTACAACAATATTAGGTCCATTTTAAAGGATTAGAGGTAAATAAAACAGATAAAATCTTCCACTTGTGTTTATAATTGGATTTTGTAAATATATCTTTCAACATCCAATCTCTTTTTTGTTGGGTTTTCTGTAAAGTTTCTTTCTATTGTTCCGGTGGTTCGATTTTTTAAAGATGTATCATTTTTAAGTTTCAAATCTGTTTGGCTTCGATTCGGCTAGGATCGTAGAATTGTTGGAAGATAGAAGTCAAGCTCATGTGACCAGGGTGCTTACCATTTCTAGAACAACTGTCCGAACGCCTCCCTTCGCTCTCAAGATATTTTAAAACGTTTTATTGTTTCGAATGTAGTCCGTGATCGACATTTTACCGCTGAGCGACGACTTCAACAATTTAGAAATATTTATCTCAGTTTATACGCTGTAAGAAGAAGACTTTCAGAAGCTGGATTGCGTTGAGAGAGAGTTTGCTACTGGTCCAGAACTTCTAACAAGGCACAGAACAGCTCGGTTAAGTGTCGCCAGAAATCACATCAATTCTTCTGAGCTGTTAGAACTAAAATCTTGTTTTGAGTCAAGGTTTTGTTTTAAGATCCTCTGACGGACGATAAAGGGTTTGGAGAAGAACAGGAGAGCGATATATCTCCGGAACATTTTCACTCAGGAGAAGCCAGGGTGGTGTTATGGTTTGGGCAGGCATTTCTATGGAAGGTCGCACAAGATTGATCTTCATTAAGGGTTCCCTAGCAGCTGCGGATGCATTGAAGATATGTTATCAAAAGAAGTTGTTTCTTACGTGCCTCTGATTGGCGATGGTTTTATTTTTATGCATGACAATGCAGGTTCCCCGCGAAGCTAGATCCGTGAGGACTACTTGAAACAGGATTCAATTCAATGTTGGGGTGGCCAGGTGTCGTCCCGATTTAAATCCTATCAAACATCTTTGAGACAATTTGTCAAAGAGGGTAAAAAGTAGCCCAGTGATGCCGGAGAATTTGGAGAAATTTAAAATGGAGCTGATGGAGTAGGAAAATATTCCACAGCACTACGAACAACAAAACCTCATAAAATCAATGCAAGCGATGATGAACGCAAGAGGAAGAAATACTCCGTACTGAATTGAATATTTCCTACATTGTTTCCATAGCAACATTTCGGTAAAATTATATTAGTCAGTTTACTCTATACGTTATATTTTTCTTTAAAAATATCCTGTAAACAACAAAAAATAAAAATTATAACCATTGCAAGTATTTACCAAAACAAAAAAAAAAAAATGGTGGCCACTTTTAGCCATTGAACCCCCTAAAGAATTTATCCCCTCGAGTAAAATTTTAAACAGAATACTTAT